CTTTCCTTTTTCTCTTGGAATGTTTGGGCCCAAGCAGTTCACGGGGGCCCGCCGCCAAGAGGGTTGGCACCTGCGGCTGAATCTGCTTTTGGGTTCGGCTCTGGAGCCAAGATTGAAAGACATGGCATGATTCTGAGACCCCTTTTGGTTCCAACACACGGCGCACTCGGTATGCACAGCGTGTTGATTCTCAAAAGGCATTTCTTGTCAGTTTGAGACTAGGTATGAGTATGAAGCAGCAACAAAAAAAAAAAAAAGGCGGCTCATCGTACTCGGTAGATCGGGAACCGTTTGGCAACTGAGAGCTTTTCATTCGCTGGATTACGAGAAATGCAACGCTGTGATCGGCAGGATCACATATTCCTTCTTGGAGAACGTTCCTTTCTTTTTGCTTGGTTCTGGTTGGTGGTTTGCCGTTCCGTCCATGTGCATTGAAGCTCGCCGAAACGGTGCCTTGACGTGAATTGCCATATGCAGATCACGCGATTTAGCTATCCATTTCGCTGGATGCCTAGAGTTTTTTTTTTTTTTTACATTGTTATTTGATGGTATGTGCTTTTATTGTTTGTTTTGTTTGTATTTTCATCTCGTTACACACACCGGCCGTCAGCTTGCTTTTTTAGGATCCGTGTTACACAGAATCAACGGGCTGAGAGGAGGGAGGTCTTGTTCAACCATGATGAAAAAAATGAGATGTCATAAAACTTCCCCGCCTCTTTGTTTAATAAAGTAGCAATTTATGTGAGAGAATACAAGCATAATTGAAAGTCGAAGAAAAAAGAAACATGTCCTTGGTCCCGCCAGAGGATGGATGGGAACCTGTGAGAACCGAGAGCGAACGAAAGAGGTGTGTGGGCTGGGCTGTTGTGTGTGTCCACACAATAGGTCCTTTTTGAGGGGCTTCAGCACTGCCACCTCCGGGGTCCTGCATCGTGGGTGTGGGCTCGAGAGGGAGAGAGACGCAAATCGAATCGATTTTAACGCTGTGCAGGCACTTGGAGGTATGGGATGTTGCTTCAAGTGCTGCCGAGCTTCTGTTTGTAGTTAATACGCACACCCTGATGGAATCTTTGCTAGTAGCTACAAAGTAGATGGTATTTTATTTATTATCTACTATAGAGAAGAAGGAAAGGGATGGCTGGGGGGTAGTATGATGATGGTGGTGGTGGTGGTGGTTCCACAATTGTTTTTGCAGTAGTATACGCGATGGCTTCTTCTTCTTCTTCTTCTTCCTCTGTCCCCTTTTTGATGATGTTTCTGCCTACGTTGATACAGACAGACGGATGCTCAGAGACAAAACACACAGACATTTACATACACACCCCCTTTTATCAACGGCAAACCCACTCACAACCTTTTTTTTTTTGACTTGGGTTTGTGCTTGCTTATGGTGAAGAAGAAAGAAGGACAGAGAGACAGGCAAGACTTGTGTGTGTTTGGGTTTGTGTGTGTGTGTGTCTTGGCAAGGGAAGAAACTGGCGCCGTAGGGCAAAGATTGCGTTTTTTCTGGCATCCACTCTCAGGGCACGCCATGTGCCGCCACCTTCCCGTCCGCTAGCAAAAGGGCGCGATGTTACCATGACCGGGATCTGGGACGTTGCTTTTTGAATGATGTCCTTGATGCTGGTACGCCCCTCCCCTTCCATCTGCTTGTTGCCGTTGCTGTTGTTGTGTGTAGTAGTACTTCCCCCTCCTCACACCCCTTCAGCCCAATTGCTCCCCATGCTGTATATCTTCCCTGTTTTGGGGTTGTTGCTGGGCGGGGCTTCTACCAGAAGAGAAAAAAGGCACACGCCCCCCCTCCTTCCATCACCCATCCATCTTCCCCCCTTTTTTGTTTTCGAGATGGGTTTGGGCTGTTTTTCGTGAGCCTACGGAGTACGTCTCCGGTTCTTGGTTGATAGCAACGTAGATGAAGTAAGGGAGAAAAATGTGGCTACATGGTGAGCGTGTGGCAAGTTACATGATGGAGGACAGGGAGAAGGAAAATGAACAATAAATATAAACATTCTCTCTGCAGGGCGGCGATAGAGTCGGCCGCTGGACCGTTGGATGAGCATGACACACACATACACACATACAACCTTTTTTTTTTTTTTTGGGCGGGAAGGGGAGAAGGGGTTTGTATGTATGCCGGGTCTGAACCCTGAATTGACGCTCTGCGTATACCTGATTTGGCAATCTTTCGCTGGGACTTGAAAAGGGCAGGGGAGGGGGGTTGGCTGTTGGTTGATGTATCATATTCTTGGAACTTGTATGAGAGAGAGAGAGAGAGTGAGAGAGAAAAAAATGTTAATTTTGTTAGTGATGGGGAAGACATTGGCATGATGTTCTTTTCTTGAAAAGGGAAGAATCGTGACTACGAGGTGGCATAACGAAGAAAGATTTGCTTCTCTCTTCCCTTTCCTTCCCTTCCCCTCATTTCCCCCTCTCACCTCGGATAAATAAAGGACAAACCTATGTTACCAGCATTATAATGATGATGATGCTGAAGAAGAAGAAAAAGGGTGCACATGTCACTATGGAGCAATGCTGCTGAATGGCCAATTAATCTATTCCCTACGACTCCGTATATCCGTTGCATGTGCCCAATGTACAAGAATAATTATACAGGTTACGAAACCGTCGAGGTGCAGAAAGGGAACAGAGACAAAAAAAAAAAAAAAAAAACCCCATCCCGCGTGCGTCATATCCCACCCTCCCATACCGTCCCCCTCCACTCTTTTCTTCTTCTTCTTCTTCTGCTTCTTCTTCTCTTTTTTTTTTACTGTTTTTACCCCACGATTCTAAACAGGGCCTGGGCCTCCACCCACCTTTTGGGGGAGGATGTTTCTTACGCAATAGCAGAGGATGTGTTATTGAAACTCGTTGCGGTGTCAGTTCAAGACATGAATGCTTCGACTCATAATGACTTTGGGGTGGGCCGGGTTGTTTCCCCCACTCCCACTACTCCCCTCGTAGTATCAAATCTCACTGCTTTGTTCTTGTAAATTTTTCTTTTCTTTTTCTTTCTTTCTTTTCTTACACCGTTCATGCAGGTCTATTGTGCCTTTGGCGGTTGATGACGAGATCAGACTGGGGTCAAAGCACCAGGCAGTTGCATAAACGATGAGAACAAGAAGTGTGTGAGAGCGAGAGAGGGACACAGAGAGAGAAGTACGCTAACTCTTTTTTTGCCCTGAAAGAGTAAGATTCTGGAATTGTTCTAGAAGGTGATGCAGGAATGTTCCATTGGGGGTTGGAGGAGTTGGAGGGGAGTGGGGGGAGTTGGAGGGGAGGGACTTTGGGGTCAAGTAAGTCGGTCGGTCGGTCGGTCGTTGTAAGGTTGTTGGAGCCAGAGGGAGTGTAAGAGCAGGTGGTCGGGTTAATAGATGTACATCCGCGTAGGATTAAAACAGCACACACACACATGCCATATACATACACATCATACAGATACGCATTCACACACGGACAATGAGAATGAGGTAAGAGGGACATGGTGAGAAGTAAGGTTTTGAGGCTTTGTTGTTTTGCCCTTGGTGCTGATGTTGGATTTACCTTGTGCTTTTTCATCATTCTTCCTTTGTAAACATGTCTGTCAAAACTGATAGTTTACATGGAAATACGATTAATTTATTACTCATAGTTCTTACTCAAGAATACGATATGCCCATGGATGACCCCTTTTCGTCTCTTGTTTTCCCTTCCAGAGTTGGTACTTTTTCTAGTCACCGTACCCGTACCCGTACAGTCTCCCATCTTCATCTCACTGAGTAGAAAAAGGAAAAAAAAAAAAAAAGGAAACAGAAGTGCTCATTTCATGCATTTGCATCTTGAACGGGTAACCCATTCAATTTCTTTTCTTTTCTTTTCTTTTCTTTCCCTCTGCGGGCGCTGGAGGAAAATGATGACATGCATTGCTTTTTGATCCAGAGGCATGTTTTGTTCTGACATTTGTTTTTTTTGTGTGTCAAATTTGGGGAACGAAAGGGAACCAACATGTGCCCGTTTTGTCTACTCCATATGAACTTTTGTAATTCTTGGAAGGGGGAAACTATGTATCAGATGTCCACTGTTGTTTCTTGGCTGTATGCGTGTGCATGCGTGTGTTTACGTGTGTGTGTATCAAGAACGAAGTAAGCGAGCGAGTGTGTCCATACATGTTTGATGCAAACCTGACACCACCTGCTTGTTTGCTCGCTTGTCAAATAGCCATGTTTGTTACATCAAAACGTGTCTTTGCATGATGAGACGGGGGGCATTCAAGGTGGATCTTGAAAGTTCCTCTTTTTTGATAGGGAAGTTTCCTATTTTTCTACGATAGGTTTGCTTTTTTGCTTGTCTCTTACTTGTCTCTTACTTGTACATGTTGTTTTTAGGTGCTCGGATAACTGCAGATGACACACGAGACAGAGACAGAGACAGAGAGAGAGAGAGACCCTCCAAAAGGCATTACTTACCGCAAGTCTTCTCTCTTGGGAAAAACTCAACGTTGCCGTTGTGTCTCTCGTATTATGCACTGACCCGTCTTGGCCACGCCAACCCACCCATTTTGCTTGTTTGCTGTAAGAATAATCACACACATGTCCAGCAAAATAGAGGGGGAGAAGAAGGGTCAAGGAGAAACGTTACTCTCCATATTAGGATTACCAAAGAGGAAAAGAAAAGAAAGAAAAAGAAAGAAAAGAAAAGAAAGAAAAGAAAAGAAAAAAAAGAGAAAGAAAAAGAAAGCAGAGACAGAGTGTAATTCATTATCCGTGATGGGAAATCCGAGAATGCATGGAGTTCTGGAGTGTGCGCACACATAATATGGTTGAGATGGCTCGTGTAAGGCGCGTTGTTGACATATTGTTGAGAGAGAGGACTTCCCCATCGGGTAATTTCCCAGAGGAGAAATGTTGCTCCATGATTGAGATGCACCCCTCTAGTTGGTTCCTCTTACCAATAGACGAGAGAGTGAGAAAAGAAGGAAAGAAAAAGAAAGAGAAAAAAAAAGGCAAAAAAGAAGGAAAACACGTCGGTATACCTGGGACTCGAACCCAGAGCCTTAGTCTTATTGCGTCGTTACAATGCGATACAATAGGAGGACTACGCGCTACCATTGCGCCAGCACACCATGTGTAAGAGCTGGCTGTGGAATCCGGCCACTTCATCCTTGACCTATGGCTGCTGCTGCTGTTCATGTTCATGCTCCGATCTTTCTCTCCCCCTCACTCCTCACTCACTCCGACTTATTACTCTTCAATATCATTGACTCGGCGGTTATTTACTTTGGAAAGTGCCGAATCGGAACTTCATTATTACCCCCTCCCCTTTCTTCCCCCGATTCCATCTCTATTCGGAAGCTTCCGGCGGCCAACGGGAAGAACTATTCCAACATGAGTATTTGGTTATTGACTGACAACTTTACATAGTCGAACCTTGCAAATGTCTTGTTTCTTGATACGAAAATGTCATTCTTACTGTGACAAAACCTGCGACTATGAAACTCTCTCCTAAAACAAAATCGGCATAGAATGATACTTGTAATACCCATAGGGCTTGCCAAGACACCCCCTCCCCTCCCCGTCCCCATCATCATCACCATCATCACCAACAACAACATCCAAGGAGAGTAAAACGGGAGAAGTAAACATGACATATCTGGAAGGCGTACCGTTTCATTCATTCGGGTAAATGAAATAGACAGAATTTCCCGAACCATGACCTGGTCTGGTCTGGTTGGGCCTGTTGGGGTGGATGGGCGTGGTGACATGTCGTCTGCACCTCAGAGTAAGCACTACATCACAACTGCATACACTACATGCCCTATTCCTTCAATTTTTTGGGTCCAGGGAGGAGGAGAGAGAGGAACAAAGAGATGGGCCAAGGATTAATGAGTGACGCTATTTGGTTCGAGTAGGGTCCCCCCCCAGTGCAAGGTAAGCATTTGTTAGAGACCCCCTCCCCTCCCCTCCCCAGGACCCAGGACCACCTTCTTGACAACCAGGTCAAGGTCCAGGAACCGGTTGGTCTTGTCATTATTGACGATTATGCCGGTACTGGCTACCCTATGCCCCCGGCATCTCCAAACAAAATGCCTAAAAACAAGAATCCTTCTGGAAGCGCCCCCCCCCCAAAAAAAAGAAGGAAAAACGACGCCGGCAGTAATAATTCACTCAACCGGATCGTGAAAGGCTAGTTTCCGTAAAGTGCAGGTCAATGTAGATTCTGAAAGGGGGGGCTTTGTAGATCCCATCCCATCCCCTCCCCTCCCGATAGGGCAGCATAGGGCGTGTTTTGTAAATGCCGAATGTTCAGCTGTAGAGAGTTTTATCTCTCTCTTTCTTTTCTCTTTCGCCCTTGCCCCCCATCCATGGTGCATGTATTGGTGGGATGGGGGGATGATACGATGTGGTTGCATGTATGTAAGTCCATGCAGCCGCCGGCTATTTGAGTTTTTTCTTTCTTCGTATCCAATCATGACACGCATCACCTGAATCCATTTCCTTCATTCTCAAACACGGCGTGCATTGCAGTCTTCACGTGTAAAAAAGAAAAGAAAGAAAGAAAAACGGCCTTCGGTTTCGTGTGGGGGACAAGACTCCAACGGGTAAGAGGCCGGCGGCATGTCATCATCCATCCATTTTCCATTCACCATAACGCATTGCCAAGTCGGAGGCCTTCCCGGTCACATATCCGGTGGCCGGACTGCTTGTTCCGTTTCCCGAAGAGCCTCACCAAAGATGAGGATGACGGGTCTGGCGGTGGTATTATTTCATGCAACAGTAATCTTCGGTAAAAAAATAAAAAAAACTCTCCCCCCCCACTAGAAAAAATGACGACAATGTGATGGGAGAAGACGTTGTGCTTGGGTAGAAAGAGGAAAAAGCTGTTGCGGCTCTTCTGGGATTCGTTACGCGGGTGGTTGAGAGGGCAAGGAGACTGACTGTCTATATTCAGCTCGCTTCTGCAAGGCAGGCCAGGCTTGTTACTATTGATCACTTTGTCATTCCCCTTTACCCAGTAATTCTCCGTTAGTCGGTACCGTTGGCCAGGATAACTGTAGGCGACTGAGAAAATCTGCCGAGAATAGTATACCACTTCCAGTTTGAAGCATGACTGACCTCTCTGGCTGGTCACTGAATATGGCCTTGACAGCCCTCATACGCTGCGGCCCGTTTCGTGCTCTCTCTCTCTCTATCTATCTATCGGTGACGAGCTACTATGCTATGCTATGCCCATGTACTGAGAGAGAGAGAGAGAGGTTGATACCTTGTCAGGCACCAACACAGAAGTGCTCACTACGTGTACAAACCCCAAGCTTGACTCGCGCCCAAGTTGTGATGTCTCTGCTCATGACACGACATGACATGACCGCGAGAGGGACCTACAGCTTCACCGGCCCCCTTTGAAACAGGTCCCCGACGGACTTCTCTCTCCCTCTCCATCATTTCCATCATCTCACGATTATTGATTGATTTTTTCTCACTTCGTTTCACCGGAGACTAACCATTTTCTTTGGTCCTGTTGAAAGGGCTTATTGCTGGGGGTAAGCCACGAGTATCACACGTCCCATTTGTAAGCGAGTAAGGGAACCATACCATATATCGGCCTATTTTTTCTCTCCCTCTCTCTCTGCTCTCTTTGCCCTCTTTGTGAAGTGGCCAATACCGCACAAGCCTCACGTCATCCCATCTGCACCGCCCCCGGTTTTTTTTAATACCCGGCCCCTCTCTTCTCATGCTCGTCAGTCAACTACGCCCTCCAAAGAACCACCTGAACCACCTGGGGGGACATAATATGGAGTAAAAGGTGTGGAGGAGAGGAGAGAGATAAGGTCAGCGATAGCCGGTATGACGACCTGTTGCATCTTCCGAGTACCAAGCGAAATGCGCCCATCAAAAAGGAAAAAAGGGTAAATCTGCCATTCCTCCCCGGCGGCAAGTCGGTAGGGCTGATTACCACCCTCCCTTGGCTATATGCGATGAGTTAAGAAGTTATTCTGCCGGAGCAAGCGTTGTATGCATATTGAGTGTGGGTAGGTATACCTGTAACTATTATGGCAGGGAACGAAAGGAAGCACGCGCCCTTGAGAGTCTCTGGTCTTTTTTCTCGATCCAGCCTAACATGATGTGCGATGGGAGTCGGAGGCATAGACCGATCCGGTCGAGTGACCGACATACGGTGGTATCCCCCCTTGCAAGGCATGATGGACGAGAAAACGCACCCCCTCCACTCTCCCCATTCAACATCCCACCTTGTTGCCGACAGGGCTGGCTGGAGCAGCTCGCGTATGCTGGGGTATTAAAAAGAGGATAGTAGCTCTTTCTCCAAATGCACACCCTCAGTTCATGAAAGAGCAGGGAGAGAGAGAGGGGAAAAGAAGGGGGAGGTAGGGGGGGGTGGTCCAGCTCACAACCGAAAAAACTTGTTGGCCTATCTGATGTGGGAGGGGAGGAGATATGGGACATGGGGCGATGGCAGTTTCTAGTGTTTCTGGAATATAGGGCAGAGAGAGAGATGGGTGAGAGTCCTACGGGCGGCTGTGAGAAAACTGATCACGAGAGACGGTGAGAGTAATGTGGAGTGACTGAGGTGATCATGAGCGCATGCTGGGCTTGTAAATGGAATGGAATGACAGCGGATTGTAACGTTGGATTTGCTGTTGACCGACTGCGTATGTGACAGCTGGTCGAGGATGGACTTTCGCGAGAGGCACCTCAGCTTGACTGATTGTCCCCCTCCCCCTTGAGATGGGCCCCTTTGGGATCTCGTATATGATGGAATGGCCCACAGGCCAATCTATAGCCCACCAGCGCTCTATCCGCGAAACAATATGCATGAAAGAGAAATAAAAGACCTACATCTGTTCACAAATTGGAACATGGGATGGGGATGAGAGGGAGGGGGGTTACGTCGAAACAGCCCAGTTTCTATGCAAATTGATACAAGGATTGAGCGTCATTGACTTTTTTTTTGGTGCTGAGAAAGTTCTTTGCTTATTTAGGTTTTTTGACTTTTCCCACTTACCTAGGCAAATTATCTTTGCATTGGTGCCCAACCCAATCTATGCACCTTGTTGCATGCATATATACTATGGGTGCTGCAGACATTTCCAAAAGTAGAAATTCCCAACGGGGTTCGTGAGGAGAAAGGGGGGGGGTAACCCTGCTCCCTTGGAAACCATCTCCTGCCCTTCGTGGCCACTGTATGACTACAAGGAATTGAGAGATTAAACTAACATTTCCTGTCGTGGAACGTCCGCTTTCTAATAGATGGACTAGTTCTCTTGAGGATAATCGGCAAAGTGCGGGACGGGAATGGGAGAATGGGAACGGGGGAGGGGGAGAATCGGTGTTTTGCTCTCCTTTCCCTTCCCCGGTTCCGTTGAGAGCCGTATTTTTTTGGCGATGCCAGAAGAAGAATACCAGGAGCAGAAAAGATTTCTAAGCAAGGGAAGAAAAAGGGTGCCTCAGGGGGTCGGATGAATGGCAAATGCCTCACTTGCGATACGGCTGATGAGAGATACGATGATGGAGGGGGTTTGAAATGTCCTGCGGAGGTTGTCAGCTCATCAATATGTGACTCTGGGGTGTTCATATGTCAGATGTGCATTTATATTTTCCCTATATCATACCGGGATCTTATATGGGTGGCTAGAAGTCATGGGTGACTGCATCAATGCTGTACTGCCTTGGTGGTGTGTGAATGAACGATGCCCGGCTCTGACTGCAAAGATGCAGACGGGGTTTTATGAGATGATGTATCATCACTACTTTGTAACGTCTGAACGTCCTAGAATGCCCAGCAATAGTGATCCATACTGAAGAACACGGCGGCAGACGTTCTGTTGCTATCTGCACGCCGAGACGTAGTCACATAAGATGCCCGTGTTCAGAAAGAGTCCATGTCCGTAGCTGCCACAATATATAGATGGATGATTACCTTCCGAAAGGATAGCAAGTGCTTAGAAGCCATATATCATGGTCAAATTAAGCTGCATAGGTGTCAATCCATGTTTAGAATTGGAAAAAAAGGGGGGGGGATAGGTTGACTGTGTTCTCGGGATCAGCATCTTTCTAGGACCGACGTGTTGTGATGCGATAGGAGGATATCTATGCACAAGCATGTCAG